ACATCCTTTGATTTTTTTTCATGGATTATTTTATATCAAATAAGCAGAACTTAGATCAACCCAGATAACATGAGGAAGCGATGGATGATGTGCCCGAATTTAGTATTTTGAAAAATGTTTCCACAAGTTTAAATTAAAGCCAATAATAATGGAGAAAAAAAAAGTTAATACTACTTAAGTGCCAATTCATTGAACGAATCTAGCTTGACAGTTATATAACTCAACTATCGCGTTTGCTACGATCAATAGCAAGGGCGCCGGCAGCGGGGTGCACTTGCACCCCCTGACTTTTTTTTTTAAACAATTAAAGAGATACAAAAAAAAAATTTTGTTATAANAAAAAAAAAAGCAAAAAAAAAAAAAAAAAAAAAAAAACAAATTTGTTATAAAATTTTTTCATTAAAAATATTTTTATTCAAAAACAAATAATTATTGATACATTTAGTAAGTAATTATTGATACATAACAATTAAAAAATTGTTTAATCAAACAAGAATTGTAATCGTCCTGTTTTCTGTCCAAATCTGTTTATAACTTTTTCAATGAATTCTGAGTCATCTTTGATTCTTTTCTCATGCACACTGAGCATGCACAGACTTGGCAGATATCTAAGCTGTATTTTTTAAATTTCATTTAATAAAATATAAATAATATTATATTTTTGATTAGTTATTTAGTTTAACAAAGGTGTATACAAACTGACTTTTCACAACTGTAAAACTTCATCAACACAATAGATACCAATGTTAAGCGTGCACAAACACGCTAGTATACGAAACTACTGTTTGTAGTTATTTGTGTTTCAAAGTCAGTAGCTATGCCAGCGCCATCAATACAGTTTCTCGTGGCAAAATTTGCTAGTACAAGAAATTCGTTTTTTAAATATCTTGTTAACAATGAAGAAATGTATCTTGAGAAAAATTGGCAGATGAAAGCATACATAATAACAGAATATTTTATTTCCTTTTTTTTGGGAGGGGGGTAGTTTGTTAGAGGGTTGCACCCTTTTTTATATTATTCTGTCGGCTCGCTTGATCAATATTTTTTTTGATGGCAAATGATACTGAATCATAATATCACATATAAATCTTGCGCATAAAACTATGATAGTGATACCGTTTTTTGCTGAGAAGGTACTTGAAATTATGTCTATTTCTATGTCATAATAAAAAAATAACTGTTTAGCGCACTTTTCCATCAAATTTCTTGTTTCTATGCTTATTTATTTTCAATTATAAGAGGCTGGACTAGGGAGGGCTTTAAGCTCCATTAACTTGTTCAGTTACTTACATTTCACATTCAAAAAACAACTGCTTCACAATTGATTTCGCAAAAAGTGACTTGACAACTATTTTTTTTCTTTCTATTGCTAATGCAATGAACGCTTAAGTAGAATTTCAAGAAAACGGCTAAAGCAGCTTATTTTCGAGAAGAAAAAAAAAAATTTTTTTTTTGCAACCAGTAGTCAATTTTACAAAAATGTCTAAGACATAAAAAAAAAAATCTCAATTTTGAATTTCTTGTTGTTTACTTTGTTTCCTATATAACACGGAATATAGTTTCTTTAAATGTTGTTTTCCAAAATAAATATAGATTCTAACTATTTTCCCAAACTGTTCTAAATTCATTTTTTTTTTTATGACACAGAATTCTTGGGCCAAAAAAAATTTTTTTTTTACAGACATTTAATGTTTAGGTATATTGCTTCTTTTTTAATTTCTATGCATTACTATTCAATTAAAATTATAATTTAAATACAACAATATAATTTAGTAATTGAACTTGCTTATTTTGTTAGAAATTTTTTAATAACAAAATAAGTGTATTTAACTTGGGGAAAATAAGTTATCTCCTGAAAAAATTGAATTAAAAATTTCAAAAGGCCAACAGGAAAAGAACAGAGACACTATCATTTTCAAAGTAATTTTTAATGAACAAAAGCTAATCAAAACAATTTGAAGATATGTTTCATTCATACCAATAAATACATACTTCATTTCTAAAGCAAATAAACAGAATCTCTCATGAAGCTAAAAGCTTAAGTTTCTGACAAGACAATTACTCAAATCTAAAGAGTATTTATTTACATAGAATTCCAACAAATCACCTATGCTATTCTCAAACACAAGGTAACAATTTGCATAAAAATATCACCATTTATGAAATTATAATACAACTTCTAACTACAGTTAAATTATGGACTGATGCATAGAGAGTAAGATATTTCAAACAAAAAGTTATAAGAAAAATGAATGAATAAAAACAAGCAAAAAAACAAGTAATTAACATTCTATAAAATCAATGACAAAGAAATAGCAACAATGAAGTTTATTACAATGCTCTTCATAATGCTAAGACAACATTTCTTAGAATTGAAACATCCAAACACTATAAGTATACTAACATGTATTACAAATGCAATCATACAATTATAATTTAATAATAAAGAAAGTTAACCCGTTACATTTGATGATACATAAGAATTTAGATCAGTTTTGTCTAAAATGAAATATGGAAGAATCATGCGACAAAGATTCAGTGGTGATCGCTCTGAAGTTAAATAAAATGTTCTAAGAACTAACTTTTATTTGTAATATGAAATACTGTTTTAACTGTATATTCTTTTTAAACTCTTTCACTCAAATAAAAATTCATAACAAATAGGCATGGAAAACTAAGAATTTAGAGCAATTTAAGCAGACTAGTTCAACCTATACAGTAAGAATTATTCATAAGTGTCTGAAAATTAGGAATCTAAACAATTATGTACTCTTATTTCATTTTATTGATATAATTATTTTAAATTAAAAAAAAAAATTCTTATCAAATAAAGAATGACAAACTTCTAGTACCGATTAAATTTAGACCTAATATTTTTAAAAGTATATAATATTTTTTGTTTTTTTATTAAACTAATCTAATTTATCAGTAGCAAATTACACTGAATCAGTTGATCCTATTTTATCTAAAAACATCTTTCTTTCTTGACCAAAAAATAAAGTTCAATTAAATCTCAGACAACTTCAAAAATAGGTAAATTTAATAGAATCATTCTACTTCTAATATTTTTAGATGTGTTTAGAATGTCTGTGAATGTTTTAAATGTTTTTAGACAGGAAAATTGTGTGAACACAACTTCCTTATTTAAAAACAGAGAGAAAAAAGCACGTGATAATCTGATTGTATGCCTGCATAACTGAAAGACAGTTAATGGAAAATTTCAATTCTGAGCTGTTAAATCATAAAAAGTCTCCATAATTACAATAACTCAAGTTCAAAAACCAATATTTCATTTCCTTTTATATATAGATATAAAACGAGCTATTAAAAATCTTAAAAGAAAGTAACAAAAAAATAGCATGTTTGGATGTCTCAAAATTTATAGTTAGTAACAACAGTAACAGCTTGTTCTTAAAAGTTACCAACAATAACAATTAGAATTAAAAGCATTTTGTACTTAATTTCCTTCTTTTAATAGAATGTAGAAAAAAAAGGGGGTAGGAGTCCTGCTCCATAGTATGAAAAAAGCACACAAAAATGTTTTGAAATTATATTTGTTGCTTTTGTCTTTATAACACTAACAATAAAAAAAAAAAAAAATTTTTTAATTATATTGCAAAACAACATTTTTTTTTAATTGTAAAAACTTTCAACTTTTGTATAATTTCAATTTTTAAAATCAACAACTTAAATATTAATATTTCAGTTCTATAACTCTTTTTTAATTAAGTATAACAAATATCAATCATAGCCATATCACAATTACGAAAAATAATAACATTTGAATTTCTCAAAAAAGACTATCTTACATTTTGCTATTATAGCTCAAAAACTATAATAGCATAACTAAAATTATTCTAATAAGAGTAAAATTTAATTAGGTCAAAATCACTAATACAATTTTGCTAGTTTTTCCTTATAATAATAATGGAATGTTTTAAATTCTTATAATAAAACAGAATTGTTACTTTATAGTTACAATAAAGAAGGAAGAATATTTAATTATTTGTATTGCATATTCATAAAACAGTAAATTTCTTACGATAGACATACTTAAAATTACATTAGAATGAATATTTATATGAAGAAAATTCTATAATCACTGCCCTTAATATATATTTTCAGAATTTCAGTGAAAGTCTAAACCAAAGCATGGAATTTCAGTTCTATAGACACCAGCTAGACCAAAATTTTTGCTCACCAATACTTTCATGAAAAGTATGAACAAATTTGAAAATGTTAACTGGCCCATTTTTAAAAACTTTTTTATGACCAAAGCCGTAAAAAGAATGCGGGAACTTAAAATACGAAAGATATGTACTGCAATAATGATATTACATCAAAATAAGGTTTCATTCAATGTTTCCAGAAACAATGATTTAATAGGTGAATAGCAGGTGATTCAGCATTTTTTATTCTAAATAGAAGAAAAATGCCACTGCTTGATTTCAAAGCATTCCCACATACTACAGGATTGAGGCACGATAATCTAATCACATCAACTTTAATTTAAAACTCAACATTTTAAAATATGAATCTTACTCGCCAGTCTTAAAGATTTGATCGCCAATGGCGAGCAGGCAAGTGGAAATTTAATGCCATGTAAAAGCATTAGAGATTGCAAATTATTATTTAGGAAACACAATAATAGTATTAAATCACTAGTGAGAAAGATGAGATAATATCAAAACCAGTTTGATTGCCCTTTGAAATCAGGAAGAATTTTTCAATTTCTTTGTTTTCTACCACAATCAAAAATAGGTTTTAATGACTTTAACCCCACATTCCGAGTGATATAAGATATATGAATAGTGTTTCTGTTTTTTCTTTGCTTATATAATAATTTTAAAGTCCTAATGTGGGCACTTCTTAAACAAGGATTAAAAAAAAATATATTAAGGGCAAAAGTTAAAGAACACTCTGAATTTACATATTTAAAATCCTAATTCAGGTTAATCATATTACAACAACTGAATTGAAAAAAATTTATATAAATACAGTGCCCGCCGCTAATAAAATCACTGGATAATAAAATCAGCCGCTTTATAAAATCAAATCGGCAAGAACCGAATCGTTACAATATTAATACATGTTAAAAACATCCTTTAATAAAATCAACACCGCCGCTTTTTAAAATCAAAATTTTGACTACATAATAAATCAAAAGTGCGATATTTCAGCTTCTTTTGTCCTTATTTATAAAATTTTAATTTTTCGAAGTTTAAAGACTTTTTTAGAAGAAGCAATAGTTACTCACAAGCCTGTGAAACTGGTGTGGTTAGCACTTTCCTGCGATATTCATAGTGTAAGAGTTAAGGAAAAATGTGGGTGGTAAGCGGCGAGTTCATAGAAATCAATTTAACAGTGTCAATTCCTTGACTTGAATGAAGTTTGGAGAAACCCATCTCATTCAACAGGGGGTCGAAGGGGTTGAATTCTTATCTTACTTTTTATTGAATGAACCATAGAAGGGAGAGAAAGAAGTTTCTTTTGTTATCTATCTTAACAGAGAACATGAATAGATTTCCAAAAACTGTCTGTGCGCATGTTCCATATTATTTAGGCGAGGCCATTTGAGTAAATTATAGTTAGAGCACATATCATTTTTAAGTTCGTTTGGTGCTAAATTTTATCAGCATGCCGAAAAGGAAGGATTTGAGTCTTAAAGATAAATTCGAAGTGTTGCAAAACTATGATAAGCTTCCTAAATGTAGTCAACGTGAAGCTGCAATTAAATTAGGGATTTCCCAAACTGCTCTTTTCAACATTCTGAAACAAAGGATAAATATTTCTGAGGAAATAAAAAAGAATGGAAATCTGTCAAGAAAGCGTAAGCGTGAAGGAAAATCGGAGGAAATTGAAATGGCTCTGTTAGAATGGTTCAAAAATGCACGCGAACGAAGAATTCCAATTTCCCGTGGAATTTTATTTCACAAAGCACAGGACTTTGCTAACTTATTTGGTGATTCTGATTTTAAAGCTACAGATGGGTGGCTAACCCGATGGAAAGAACGCAACAACATTGTCTATCGTAAATTGCATGGTGAAAAGCAAGATGCTGATTTTAGCTCTGCCGCCGATTGGGTAAACGACGTGTGGCCAACACTCATCAAAGACTATAAACCAGAGCAAATTTTCAACACAGATGAAACAGGATTATTTTTCCGAGCACTTCCTGAACACACACTGCTGTTTAAAAATGAATCGACTGGTGGATGTAAAAAAATGAAGGAAAGACTAACCGTGCTGCTAACATGCAACATGACAGGAACTGTGAAAAAAAATCCTTTAGTGATAGGAAAGAGTTTAAAACCTCGATGTTTTAAAGGAGTAAAACACCTGCCCACCAGTTATGCCAACAGCTATAACGCATGGATGACATCCAGCATCTTCACAAAATTTCTTCTTGAATGGGACAAGGAGCTGAAAAATGAAAAGGTCGTTTTACTTTTAGACAATTGTTCTGCGCACCCTGCTGATGAGGACTTGAGTTTGAAAAACATTAAATTAGTGTTTTTGCCACCCAACACTACAGCTATTATTCAACCCCTTGATCAGGGAATCATAAGNAGGTTGTATAAAATCTAGTTTAAATTATCATTATTTATACACTAACTTGCCTTCACACTTTTTCCAGGTTTAGGACTGGCAGTACTATCTAAAATAGCTCTGTTTTAATATCAAAAAAAAAAATTCTCAAAAAAAATTTCAAATTTTAAATATTTTTATTTATTTTTTCTAAAACTTTTTTTTTCATTTTGAATTTTTTTAATCATATTTCAAATTTTTAAATTATTTTTTGTCAATTACTGATTTAACCACATTTTTCTTTATTTTCATTACAAAAGAAATCCAGCAAAGACTTTTGTTTCAAAGAAGATGCTCTTTTTTGAGCAGCCATATCCCTTATTCTTTTAAATAAATCAACTGAACTGGATCAACATCATTTTGGCGTTCTATTCAATTCATTGCAATATCGAATGAATTGCATGCTTCTATATGAGAAGGTCCACTATTTTGAACTTGATCACCTACGTCTTCCTCTTCGTCTGTGGAGTTCCGATTTTCATTCATAATTTAAGCAACTATTTCATCATCATTTGAAATACCTGGACATTTTCAGTGTCTCGACACCAGTCTTCTATTTCGTCTGCTGCATAACCTGGCATCTTTTCATCCGAATGATCTAATTTTTTAGAAATTTAGAAAAATTTTTGATAAGTTAAAAAGTATTCTAAACTTTGAAAAAAAAAAATTCGGACACATTTCGGATAATAAGGGTTCGGATAATCGGCGCTCGACTGTATATATATATAACTGTATCGTCATGAAAAATATAGATCTGTATAATTTAAAAAATCTTGGAAAGTACCATAAGAAATATCTTTATATTGTTTTAAATAGCCACAAATAAAACAATCAAAGACTTAAATAATAACTCAAGATTTTTTTACAAAACAAAAAAAAAAGTTCTTAACTTTTATCATTATTATAGTCATCATCTATGAAAATTAAACAGCTTCCATTTTAGGATCAATACGATTATTTTGCTTTTATCGACAATATTGCTATAATTGAATGTTTTTTTTTTTAAATTTTATAATAGATTGAAGGAGTATGGTTCTTAAATCCCCATCTACAATATTCATATTAACCAGATTTCTCACATATATACACTATAAACTATTATTAGCACAATATTAAGATAACATGAAATCTCTAAGTAATAAAAAAAAAATTAAACTATGTGCTGTGAGAATAGCAAAAATATAGTGCTTATGCATTATTTAGTAGTGAATAAGAAAATAGTTTCTCTCGTGAGTTTTTTGATAAGTGGGCTTCTATCTTGTTTCAAGGTAAAATACAATTTATCGACTGTATTCCGAATATCTTGATTAAGTATCTTTCGTATCTTGCATAATTTGATTCTACATCTAATGTTTTTAACACTAGAATTAACATACCAATCAAAATGGCTAGTTTTGCAATTTTACTTATAACTATGCCATTTTGCATTTTTTTTCTTCGAAATAACATTTATTTTTCAAAGATAATTTAAAAAGTATTGTGATTTCTTATATGAATAAAAACAAAAAATTTTACATTTTGATTCTTAAAACCAATATCATTCCAAATGCAAAATTATCCACTTTACTTGACGTAAATTAAGACTAAAAGTCACAGATGGTATAATACAAATACCAAAAAAATGCTACATATTATTTAATTCTTTTTATTATCTTCATATTATGTAATTAGATCAAAAATGCTCCTTATTTTTCACAAAACTTTGTCCTTTTTTTCATATTGACATTTTCCATTATTTTCATAACACTGGCTAAAGACAGGTAAAACTTAACCTAACAGTTATTATTAACTGTTAAAAACTTACAAGAGTAAAAAGAAATAGAATATTATTCACTAAGACAAAGGAGTTCTTGAAGAACAGCCTTAAAATTAATTTTTTTTTTTAAATTTAATTTTTTTGATAAATAAATAACATTAAATTAAATATAAAGGGTTTAGGAATAGAAATAAGAGGAAGCAAATATTTCACTTAAACTATTTACTTATTAGATTGCCACAATTAAAATTAAAAAAAATACATTTAACTTATACAAATAATAAATATGAAATAATTTAAGAACTACAAAAGCAATAAACAAACTTTCAAGCTACCTTTAATGAATAAATTATTTGAAAGAAGAAAAAGTTATCAATGTTAACAAACAAACAAACATTTTATGTAAATAACATTTCACAAAAAAAACAACTCTTAAAGATCATAAAATTTGAATGTTTAAGTAATGAGCGTTAAAGAAATATTTTGGTATAACAAGTAAAGGAACTATAAATTGGAATGATTCATGAAACTTGTATCATGCTGTGTCTATAGTTGCAATGTGAAGATGAAATAGAATTTTTAGAACCAGATTCTAAATGCAGTGTATCTGGACAAGACTCATGAGTGCTAACAGAATATTCCATGTAATCTATGCTGCTGCAACTGTAACGATTCCGACATTTGTCTTGAGTGGATTTTGCTTTAGATTTCCGCAGTTTAACGTTGCCAGAAAGTTCATTTCTCTCAGAAGTGGCATTTTGGTAGGAGGATAATTCGGAACTGAGCATGCCAGGACACGACTGAGCCCGGTAAAGCATTTGGGTTTTACCAGAATCGGGAGAATCTGGAATATGATGCAAATTTCTGTCATTCAGCTCTGGGTACTTTCGTAACTCTTCGTACTTTGATGAAGGCAATTTGGCTGCATTGAAAAAAAAAAGAAATTTAAGTTTAAAGTTAGAAGAAAAAATTAACACTTGATAAAGTCATGCAAAATATATATACAAAAACTCGTATAGAACTGGACTAGTGTAAAATTTTAATTTTCATCACTTGTAAAAACATATTATTTCAAATAACTGCATCGACTACTTTCATTCAAGCAATATTAATCTCGAATAATGAAAATAATATTATTAAATAATGGTGGCCCAAAATCTGATTTAACATTCTAATGAATAATGAATCCTCATTAATTAAATAACTAATACTTTAAAACTTTAAATCGCTTTATTCGTTAAAATGCATTTTGAGGAACTTGAAAACAAAATTTTAATTTTTAACATCTTAAGTATTTTCAAAATTGTTTGTAAGCATTTATTTGTAAAAGTTTCACAAGATAATATTTAATGAATAAGATGAATTAAAGAATTTTACAAAATATTATTTGGAAACTTAGTAAACTGAAATTCATTATCCATATTATTTCTTAAAAGTTAACATCCAAGAGGAAAGAAGTAGAATCCGAGTACACAACACTCTAAGATGGATTCAGGATTTGGTCTAAAATAATACGGGAGCAAAATTCAAATGAGCAAGAATCAACAAAGCAATCTGTTCTATACCAGTTTATTATACAGTACTTAAGAAAATTTAGCAGGTAACATGCCTAAGGAACATGTCCTAAAAGTGTACAAAAACTTTAAAAAAAAACACATTATTTTGTAAATACAGATTTAATATAAAATGCATATAAAAATTTAATATTGTTAGTTTATCCTTTAATTCCACAAAGAGAGCAAAGACAACTAATTCAGTGATTAATTAACTGGTTGTGATAGAATTCATTGACAGCAGAAGTCTAGGCTCCACTTATCACATATAGGGATGATCACTCACTCTCTCTTAATGTATAAGAAATAAATAACAAAACAAAAATTCTTTAGTCTGATCATTTACCCCTTCCTTCTCGCTCCCGTGAAAATGACAGGGTGAGGATTCGCCCTCTATTTCTCGGTCCCGTGATATTTCCGGGCTGGAGTGTTCAGTAGCAAAGCGCCAATAAGAATAAAACTTATTCATTTCTTTTGCCCGGAAAACATTTTATTTCTCATTTTACAAGCCAGATGGTAGTACCAGGATATTTTCAAGGTAATTGTAGATAGTTAGTTTATTTTAAACTAGATGTCAGCACTAATTGTAATACTTATTTAAATAATCAAAGCATAGAGTTATATTTGTTTAACATTTCCTACGCTAGTTCTTTTATACAATTTTAAGTTTAAACATTTAATTTCAATTGAATATTTTTGAAATGCATATAAGTCAATAATAAAACAAAATCTTTCTACATATTCAAATAAAAAAAGAATAATCTCCAATCTTTTATATTTTTAAGTAAGAAAAAAAAAGAAACATTTATAAAGATTTAAATCAAAATCAATCAAATAAAAGATTACAAATACAAATATTTGAGTAAAAAGTTCCATAGTCTTACTTGCAAAAGGAACTGTCTGTGCATGTTCATTTCTAACACCATGCTGGAAATTATAAAGCTCATATTTAGGATATAACGACACTGAATCATCATAAGAATCTTCCAAACCACATCTATCACTACTACTTTTGCTTCTCCTGAATACCCTGTCGCTAGAAGGCACTGAGGAATAATCTTCGTCCATCATAACATCGGATTCTCTTTCACAGGAACTAGTAAAATCTGTCCAACTATCCGTAAAATCCGATCCATCACTGCCCAAGCCAGAAGTACTCACAGAGTCGGATCTGGTATAGGATTTGGGATCAAACTCAAAAGATTTAAGTTCTCCCGGAGAAATAAAGTCTGGAGAGGCAATGCTTCGCTCCGTTTTATCCGGCAAATGAAGTTCCATGAAATAGCTGTTTCGTTTGTTTTCATTCCGCCTAGGGCTAAGAGGCTCAGGGCTGATTGTCATAGAGGGTGGTGTGGCACAATTTTGAATTTTCACATAATCTTTGGCGATATTTTTCATGCTTTTTGAAGACTTGTACGATGATGTTTGACAAGATGTGAAGTTCAGTTCTTTTAAACTGGAAACAGGAATACATTTAATGTTCAATGTTGTAGACGATTGCTGACATGGAATGTAATTATAAGTACCTGAGCTGACATTCACACCTTTTTTTAAAGATGAGTAAGGTCCTTTCGTTTCTGAAACTTTCCGAGAGATCGTTTCGGCTTCGTCTGCATACCTGACGCAGAAGGTAGTAGAAATTTGTCTCTGTGAAGAATGCTGCAGATCGTTTTCAAAAAAGTCACAAGTATTTTTCTGATAACAAGGCTTGAATGAAGGACTAGATGAATTAATCAAAGATGTAGCTGATGACTCAGACTTCAAAACAAGAACAGATTCTAACTGTAACTGTTTTTCAAATTCCAACAGCTGCCCCAGGAAATTAAAATTGGGAGATACTGTGGCTCTTTTAGCTTTCACATACCTAAAAAGAAAAAATAAATGTACTCTTGACTGCAAATTTTTTTCAAGATCAAGGATGAGAGTAGTCAGAAAGTAAAAAAGAGGAAATCCAAGAATGAATATTATATATACAGTAAAACCTCGCTACAACAATATTTTGCGGACCAAATAAGAATATTGTTGTAGAGGGATATATTGTTATATCGAGGGCCCACATAATTCTGGGACGCAATAAGATTTTTTGAAATTTAATGTTATATATTCATTAACTATAAATATATTTATATATTATCGAAAAAATTAATTTGCAAAGTGTTTATTACGGTTAAGCATTAAAAACAATGGATATAAATACAGAACATAAGATTGTAAACTTACCTTAAAAAAACATTTTTATTGAAAAAAATCCGATATTTTTGTTTGTTTATTCATTTTTCTGACTGTTAAGTCAACCAACAAAGTATGCATAGAGTCCAATGCCCGAAAATGATTTTCATTTGTGAATGGAAGACTTGAGAAAAATGTCTTTAGAGATTTTACGGATTGAAGAGCTTCATGGGGTGACAATACGGACTGTGATACACATGGATCATCATCACCATCTTCTTCCTCATCATTATTTTCCATTTCATCCGTAATTTCAGAGAGAATCTCTTCATCACTAACTCCTGCGAAAATTGTGAGATCGTCATCGGCAGTTAAATAGTCCTCCACGTTAACACCATATGTTTTACCCATTTTTTCCTCAAGTTGGGATAAAGATTTTTGAAGATTCAAAACAAATTCTTGATTATCTGAAAGATCACTGTCTGTGGAATTTTCTTCACTATTAGAAACAATTTCATCTTCCAAGACACACAAACCGGCCTTTTTCCAACAATTTTGAATAGTTTTTTCTGTTACCTCCCACCAACTACCAGCAATAATATCACATGCTTCCTTGACATTCACAGTTTTAAAAGGATCTTCTACTTTATTTTCGATGTTGACAAGTATCGATTCAACCAAACGCTTCCTGTAGTATCCTTTGAAACACTTGATTATGCCCATGTCGAGTGGCTGCAAAATCGAAGTGCAGTTGGCCGGGAAATAAACAATTTCGACGTTGTGTAGTTTTGGAATTGAGGTGTGAGCGGTGCAGTTATCAATTAATAAAGCAATTTTTTTCTTCCTCTTTTTCATTTCTTTATCTAACATCAACAACCATTCAGAAAAAAACTTAGAAGTCATCCAAGCTTTTTTATTGGCTTTATATTCCACGGGAAGACTTTTCACATTCTTGAAACACCTCGGCTTCAATGATTTGCCGATAACAAGAGGTTGAATCTTGTGTGTCCCTGTGCTATTGGCACACAGAAGAACAGTCAATCTCTGCTTTGATTTTTTTCCGCCGTAACATTTTTCACCCTTAAATGCCAATGTTCGATCGGGAAGGAGTTGAAAAAACAGCCCAGCTTCATCTGCGTTATAAACGTTCTCTGGTTTATACTTTTGAAGAATATCTGTCATCTTCTCTTGCTTCCATTCATTTGCTTCGTTAATCGGAGCAGATTTTTTCTCTCCGTGAACTTCCTGGAAAGTTATTCCATGTCGATCCCGAAAACGCATTAGCCAACCATTACTAGCTTTAAAAGTTTCGTTCCCTAGCATTACTGCGAATTTACGTGCTTGTGTGCATAACAAGGGCCCATTTATCGGGATATTTGTTGCTCTCATCTCTTGAAACCATTTTAAGACGGCAGCATCAATGTTTTCATTAGTTGCGACTTTTAGTCGTTTACGCTTTGGATTAATTAAATTTGAACTTACAGTATCTTCGATCTGTTTTCTTTTCTTTAGAAACGTTGCAACTGTAGATTGAGATAATCCGTATTTTCTAGCTGCATCAATCTGTTTCATTCCATCATCAATATCTTTAATAACGTTAAGTTTATCTTGAAATGAAAGTTGCTTTCTCCCTGCCATTACACTAGTAAAAAATATCCAATACACTGAAGACTCACCAAGCTGAAAATGTTAGCAGCACTAAATGCGAAAAGTTCTGATCGTAGAATTTGCGCTAGCTCATGAAAACACCAGGTGTAGTTTAAATCAGGGATTAAGTGACAGTGATGAACGATGACCAATGGTCAGTATACATTTTTTTCTCCTCCTCAATTTCAATAAACGTGCTCCACCCACCTTCTACAGAAACAGTACCTTCTCAGGGTCGCAGGTGTTACTGTGATGTGTGTGGTCATTTATGACTCATGATGTTACAATGGTGATTTCTTAAGAACTGAGGGAGGCAATTCTAAAACATGAAGCTCTTAGGGTGGTCTAAGTACCTCAACAGTGGGGGAATGAAATTTGAATACAAAAGCCATTCTCTGATGTGCAAAGAAATAACAGTGGGGTGAAAGATCATAACCAGCAGTGACCCTTTTATCAGAAAAGATGAAAAAAATGGTAAAAGATGACAAAAAGGCATTTTACATTATTTGAAAACCAATAAAAAAAAATAGAAAATAATGTTGAAATTTGAAAAAAAAAATCGTTTTACAGAGGTTTACTGCTTCAGAGAATATCGTCATATTGAGAGGAAGATAACATTAATCCATATGCAAGTTTGGCGGGACCACGGAACATTATCGTAATAGAGGGAGTTATTGTTGTATCGGATATCGTAGTAGCGAGAGTTCACTGTATATAATATGTAGAAGCTATGATATCTAAAAATTTGACAAAAAAAGTGCGATTTTTAAACCATGTGATTATAAATATTGATGATTAATTTCAAAATTGTATAAATATGAATCACATGCATGATATTAAAATCGTGTGATTAAGATTTTAAATTGAGAGAATATGAATCCAGATATGTGGCTTTTAAATATTGTGAATATGAAACTCGACATTGGATTTCAAAAATATTAAAATACAATAAATCATGATGCGTAATTTTTAGATCACGTAAATAAGAATCATGATGCATAATTTTTAAATTGCGTGAATAAAAATCGTATGCTTTTGCGCCAGCAAACAGTAAGCAGTGATGTCTGAATTACGAAAGTGCAAGCTATCTGGCGGGGGGGGGGATACGGAAAATCTTATTTTCTGGAGAAAATAAGTAAAAATAAGGAAGGGTTGGTAGCTACGTAGTTTGAATTTTCTGTTTGTCTTTGAAATTCGGAAATAAGTATTCTATTTCAACTACTGAATTTTCAGAAAAAGCGAAATACTTATAAAAAGAAACTTTTAGAGAATCGGAGTTTTTGATAAAAAGGCTGAAATTCGAGAGACAAAAGCGGAAATCCGATAAAACGCGGAAAAATCTCATCCCTGCAAGATGAAATTTAGCATTTTGACATGAATATTTCATAAACAAAACCATTACATAATTTAAATCTATAACAAATTCTAATGAAACACAACAACAAAAATTTTTTCAATAGAAATTGAAATTCAATGAACATTGGAATTTCATGAATAAAAAGTAAAACTTCATGCTTATTTAAAAACAAAAAATAATGTAATTAAACAAAATAAAAATTATTTACCGATAGGCTTCATCAGAAGACATTTTAAGAGTTTTCATAACATATGCAATTGCAACAGTTGCAGATCTAGAAATCCCAGCTAGGCAATGAATTAGAACGCAACCACCAGATTCTCGAACTTTGTCTGCAACAGTAAAGAGAAAAAGTTTTAATAAATGCAGGCAAATAATTAACTCTCATAACTTTTAACATTTTTACCAGAATTTAGTTCAAAAAGGTAGGCATAAAGTTAACTATAAAACCAGGGTAATAGATTACTGACTCAATTTAATAGAACTTCTAAAAAGTTATTGAAATTGTAAAAAGAGAAATACACTATATCACTGCACTATCATATATCCATTCCTCATAAGTATATTTTATGCCCTTACTGCGTCAAACAATTCAGCTCAACCCTAACTGATAAATAAGTTCCTAAAATTCAACTTTTTTGCAGATATTATTTCTTAAAATTATTTTTATTCAGCTTTGAATAAATTTTATAGGATGCAAACTTTTCATAAAAAATGTTTCTTCAAGCAAATTAAATCAATTAAAATCAGCATTTTATTCATCTTTATACTGGTCTTTTGTACAAATGCCGTTATTAATACTCTGTGACTGATATATGATGTCACTTTTTGCTGTTCCATAGACAACATGTCATTTTAATACCTATTAGAACATCCAAACTAAACCGTTCATTCCAATATAGTGACTGAAAATTTGATCCATTTTTTGTAATTCCTAGAAAATCACTCTTAAATCAGGTGTTACACATTTTTGCACCTTGTTACACAGGCGTAGCCAAATTTTTCAACAAAAAATAAGCACTTTTCAAGCATTCAAAATATAGTTTTAAGCAATTTGAAAGCTATCATAATTAGACAGGGTTGGCAAGTTTTTGACAGTTGATGGTTTTATCCGGTTTTATTTACAGTGACGAAGACGATGGCGCACAAATGATGAAATTAACAAGAGAAAGGAAATTTTCTATCACTCATAGAGAAAAAAAATTGACAATGTTTAGTTGGTTTCCGTAATCAGCAAAAATTCAAGCAATTCTATTACAGAGGGCGAAAAATTAGATTTTTCGATTCTATTACAGAGGGCAGAAAATGAAGTCTGAAATTGAGAATCTCTTGCAAAATGCAGCAGGGTTACACATGAGAGTAAAAAATCCTTACCACTGAATTCAGAGCTCAGTATATGCTAGTACGGTATCAGTATATACATACACTACAGACCAGCGGTACGCCGAAATAGATTAGGGTTGAATTAATTGTGAAAACGTTGAATAGGACAATGTCTTTTTGCATAATTTGTGGCGAAAATCAACATGGTAAAGAAAAATATCACATTTTGAAAAAGGGAAAATTGAGCACTTTTAAAAAACATCCATGGAAAAAAGCACCTTTAAGGGCTTTTAAAAAAACAGAAATAAGCACCTTTAAGCACTTTTTAAAAACGCTACGCACCCTGTTACACATTTTTACGTGAGAACAGATTTTAAATGGCTTTAATGTAGTAGTGAGCAAATCAAACTATAAAAGATTCCATAGCAGTGTTTGGGGGTTAAGGAGCCTATTAGTACATTCTAACCTCTAGAATATTAAAATAAAAGAAAGAAATGATAAAAAGGTACATAAAAATATATTGATAATTACCAAGAAATTGAAATGCTTTAGAGAAGTGAGGCAAGAGTTTTTCGCTATAATTATCAATCACAGGAATTCTCATAAAATTAGATTCTTGAATGAAATCTGGTTTTGGACAATTATTGCTCACATTCAGTTGATATGTAATGTTATAATGCTGAAATAGTAATTTAGATTTTATTACAAAAAATGTACACTTAAGCACACTCAGTCATTAAATCATAAAAATTATGGCTAATTAATACAAGCTTTAATACAAAATCTCACAATCCTTATATTTAAATATATAGTTACCAAAAATATTTTTAAAAAAAAGCCTTTTCTAGTACTTCATATGTGTTGTTTCACAAGTTCAAATGCTTAATCTAATTTTTAAGATAACATTAATTGAATTTTTTAAAAAAAAATTTATGTGATAAAAGATTTAAAAATTAATCTTCACAGACTAGATGTCATTCATGACAAATGCACTAATCTTGACGGTTGTTAATAAAATTTCCAAAATACATTCCAGCTAACGCACACTTAATGAAGTTAAAACACAGTTATTAAATAACAAAAAGATTAGATAGAAAACTCATTAAGTAAACGAGTAAAATACAATAATTATGATTATTAAATTGGCATACGAAGCAACTATAAAATGTTTTGAAAAAACAATGAAGCAACTTTAAAACACAGCCACAAAATGGCTAACTGTAAAAAATTCACCTCATCTAAAATTCTTTGACACCAAAAAAACACACAAAAAAATAAATAAATAAAATAAAATAAAAACAGAAAACATGTTTTATTAATTACATATAATTTCTATACTGATAATTTAATACAACGAAATTTAAAGTAAAAATTTAGGCATTACTCCGTTTTGTGGGTCAACAACAAAAAAAATCAATGAATTATTTTTTACGTCAGAGATACTCAATTATGGTAATAGGTACTACTGATAAAGTGGCAATAGGTTTTTTTCAGGAGCCTGAAACGGAATAGAACGGACATAAAATTCTAATTTCATTTGGTCATTATAATGATACAAATGCAACATAACATTCTATACGAATCACAAATAAATTGTATACTCTAAGTCTAGTTTGTGACAAATTTATCCATCTCTCATTGAATTAAAGCATGATAGCCTCTAAGATGCAATTAAAATACATTTTTTGTGATTTTTTTTTAATGATTACATCTATATTGTGTCTCTTTGTGATACAATTAAAAAATTCACACTGATAAATTCATAAAGATCTTCAAAAATATTATTTAAAACAGAATCAGGCCTTAAATGCATTTTTCAGAAAACTACATTAAAATAATTAAAAATACTTAAGACTCACTTTTAAAATTTCCTTATTGAGAGCATCATTCTGGGACCCAAGATATACAAAAGATAAAATTCTTGTGGGCCCATGATTAGTTATAGGAAGGCACGGTTGAGACAATGATGTCAAAGGCCCTAATTTAGCTCTTTCATCTTGACACAAATGGGGATATGCTGCTTGAAACTCCAGAAACCCACCTGCAATTACAAAAAAAACTAGCATTAAAATAGATGTGTAAACACTAAGACAGGAATAGTATGATCGTTAGTTCCTAATGTCAATGCATAAAGTTTTTCTCAATTTACCTAAAATGACTAAAATGCAACTTAAATCATTCATCCACTAACATATACAATAGCTCTACATAATATTAATACTAATATTAATAATTATATTATAGCTCTACATAGTATTAATATTAAATACATAGTATTAATATTAATACTACACTAATATTTTAACATGAATTCTGGTAATGAAACCAAAATTTACAGTGTTTAAAACATTTTTTTATGTATTTAGAAAATAATTTAATGCATTACAATAGATAAAGGATAGAAACAAACACAGAAAAAATAAAGTAAAAAAGTCTTTTTTTTGGGGGGGGGGGACAGAATTGAGTTTATACAACAAAAGGAAAATACAATAAAAGGAAAAGAAAAAAATCATAATAAAGTTAACAAAATGCAAAGATAAAATTTAACAAAATAATATGATTTGGTTAACAAACATCATATTATCTTGTTAAAGCGCTACTGCTTATATAGTTGCAGAACCTGACCACCTGTAAATATTAGTTCTCTTGATCAAGTACTAAATTATTATTAAAATTATCAAAACATTTGTAACCTGACTAACTATTTAATAAGCCTGACATTAATTTACTTAAGTCTCTTGCAAGTGTTTTTTTGTGGTTTATGTGAAAAACTAATTTAAATTTTTTTTTACTTTCAAGATATTGCAAATAAATTAAATAATTAAAAGTAACTTTTTATTAAAATATGTGCCATTGTGTTGTATAAAAAATACATTCAAATTTAAGTTTTTACATTATGCTCATAAAGGATATAGAAATAAATATCTGTTTTTGCAATCAATAAATAAACACTAGTTCATAATAAACACTAGTCCATCATTGACAATAAACACTAGTTCATAATTTTACAAAGGTTGATCTGGGTAGACAATTAAATTTTATTATTGACACATTAGATTTTTTAGTTGAATGAAAATCAGGGTTGGGTTTTTGACGTCAAAAAGTGGTTTTTGACATGACAAGGGTATAATACTGGTTTAAACTGTCAAAAACCCGTCGAAAACGTCAAAAACTGAAGTTTGCCAAGAAAATATATAAACTTCAAAACTACCAACAGTTGCCATGCATTACATTGAAATTTAATTATACTATAGGTAATCAGCAGGTTTTAAAATATTTTTTAATTAAATTTAAGGTAAAATAACAGATTTAAAATCTCAGAAATTTATATTCAAATGCATGTGCAGAAAAATTTTGCACAAAAATTGTTTAAATATTTATATTTTGAAGGAAAAAAAATTTTTTTTTTTTGATATTTAAGAAAATTAAAAGTTTATTACCATGCATTTTTGACATATAAGGAACATATAACTAATATTTATATTTATAAGGAGCTTACAAGTTATGTTGTATAAATACAAACTTGATA